CCGCCTATTTCTAAATATCTCGCTCAACTCTTTCACCAAGAGCCTCTAAGATTCTGTTTCTACGAGACGGTACTTGGGCCTTTTTTGTTTTTTCTGATTCTCTACGCGAGTCTGCTCAGCGCGCCATTTCTCTCGGGTTTTCTGTCTCCTCCTCTCTCTGGGTGTCCGTCCCCCTCTCAGGAGGTCTTCGTTTGTCTCACCCTTCGGGCCCAGCCCCGTCCTTTGGCTGTTCCATCACCACTGGGGTCCTCTGAAGTCTCTTCTAGCAATTTCGCCTCCGAGATCCTTCCAGGGCCCGGGAAGGTTGGGGAGGGGCCCAGGCCCAGGCCGAGAGAGGCGGGGCTCGGCCGGGTTCGGAATGGGGCGTGGCTCGCGGAGTGCTCCGGAACCCCGAAGGAAAGAGCGCAGGCCGGAACCTGGATCTAGTTCCTCAAGACCGCCACCGCAGGCCTCCAGGCCCTCCTCAGCCCCACCTCCCTCAGACCCGAGTCCAGACCCCAGCCCCTCCTCCCTCAGACCCGAGTCCAGACCCCCAGCTCCTCCTCCCTCAGACCCAGGAGTCCAGACCCCTAGCTTCTCCTCCCTCAGACCCAGGAGTCCAGATCCCAGCCCCTCCTCCCTCAGATCCGAATCCAGATCCCAGCTCCTACCCCCTCAGACCCCAGGGTCCAGATCCCCAGCTCCTCCTCCCTCAGACCCGGGAGCCCAGGCTCCTCCAGCCCCACCTCCCTCAGACCCGAGTCCAGACCCCAGCCCCTCCTCCCTCAGACCCGAGTTCAGATCCCAGCTCCTCCTCCCTCAGACCCAGGAGTCCAGATCCAGCCCCTCCTCCCTCAGACCCAGGAGTCCAGACCCCAGCTCCTCCTCCCTCAGACCCGGGAGCCCAGGCTCCTCCAGCACCTCTTCCCTTAGACCCCGGACTCTGGGTCCCCAGTCCCCTTCCCCTCTCAGATACAGTAGTCCTGAGACCCCTGTTGCCTCCTCTCTCTCTCTCTCTCTCTCTCTCTCTCTATTCCTGCAATATCCTCAAGACACATACTTTAGGACTCAAGGGACATTTTAGGTAGGGAAATCTGGACATGTGGACACTCCCCAGGACAGAGGGCATGGTAGATGGTCTGGGAGTCTTAGCCATTCGAGGTGCCATGTCTCTAACTTGCTTTGTAACTCTAGATCCTTCTAGTCAGTATGCCTCAGTTTCTCCATCTGAGAAATGGGGCTAATAATACCATCCAGGTTATTGTGATATTATCTGTGAATTAGTAAACACAGAATCTGGACAATTAGTCTCAACAAATGAGACTTATTGTTACTGCTGGTAGTTGTGACAGTATTTTGCTGAGAAGCTATAATTCTTACATGCATTCATTTAAGAAATAGTTATTCAATGCCTGCTATGCTCAGGGCTCCAGGCTGCCCGCTGGGGACAGAATAGATATGGTCCCTACTCTCAGGAAACTTGCATGCTTGTAAGGGAGACAGACAAGACATCTGTAGCATATATTCTGTAAGAATAAGTACCTGAAGATGTCAAATTAGGGCAAGGGGGTACAGAGGCACCGAGGCAGGGAGATACAGTAGATAAGGTGGTTAGGGGCGGGACCCGGTGGCTCATGCCTGTAATCCCAGCATTCTGGGAGGCCGAAGTGGGTGGATCACTTGAGGTCAGGAGTTTGAGACCAGCCTGGCCAACATGGTGAAACCCCATCTGTACTAAAAATACAAAACTTAGCTGGGTGTGGTGGCACATGCCTGTAATCCCAGCTACTCTGGATGTTGAGGCAGGAGAATCACTTGAACCCAGGAGGCGGAGGTTGCAGTGAGCTCAGATTGCGCCACTGCACTCCAGCCTGGGCAAGAGAGCGATGCCCCATCTAAAAAATAATAATAAAATAAATAAAAATACAAAAATTAGCCGGGCATGGTGGCGAGTGCCTGTAGTCCCAGCTACTTGGGAGACTGAGGCAGGAGAATCACTTGAGCCTGGGAAGCAGAGGTTGTAGTGAGCCAGCTCCCTACCAATGCATCTCCACCCTGGGTCACAAAGCAAAGCTTCCCCTTAAAAAAAAAAAAAAAAAAAGTAGATTAGGTGGTTAGGAAAGGCTGTTATGGGAAGACTGGATATTCCTGGGGAGGGAACAGCTTCTGAAAGTAGAACAAGCATAGTAATTCAGGGACTGGAAAAAATCAGCTAAGTGGAGAGGGATAGGTCTTTACATTTTTAAATAAATGCTTTATTTTGCAATACTTCTTTTGTGTATTTTTTTGAGACAGGGTCTCCCTCTGTCACCCAGGCAGATTGGAGTACAGTGGCGTGATCATGGTTCACTGCAGCCTCAACCTCCCAGGCCCAAACCATCCTCCTGCCTCAGCCTCCTGAGTAGCTGGGACCACAGGCGCACACCACCACATGGGATGCCTTATTTAGGCTGGTCTCAAACTCCTGGGTTCAAAACATCCTCCTGCTTTGGCCTCCCAAAGTGCCAAGGGATTACAGGCATGAGCCACCATGCTTGGCCCGGAATACTTTTATATTTACAGAAAAGTTACAAAGATAATACAGAGAGTTCCCATCTACTCCTGACTCAGCTTCCCCTAATGCTGCCATCTTACATTGTCGTGGTACATTACAACTAAGAAACTGACAGGCCTATTAGGCAAACTGCAGGCTTTATTTGGATTTTACCAGTTTTTACACTAATGTCCTTTTTTTCTGGTCCTGGGTCCAATCTGGACTACCACACTGGATTTAGTCATCCTCTCTCCTTAGACTCCTCTAATCTGCAGCCCTCTCTAAGTCCTTCCTGGTTTTTCACAACCTTGAGTGTTGGGGAATGTAAGTTATTTTGTAAAATGGAGGGGTTTTTCTTTTTTTTTTTTTTTTGAGACGGGGTTTTCCTCTGTCACCTAGGCTAGAGTGCAGTGGCACTATCTCAGCTAGCTCACTGTAACCTCCATCTCCCCGGTTCAAGTGATTCTTCTGCCTCAGCTCCCTTAGTAGCTGGGATTACAGAAGCCAACCCCCCACCACGTCCAGCTAATTTTTGTATTTTTGGTAAAGACGGGCTTTCACAATGTTGACCAGACTGGAGGTCTATTTAATTTAATTTAATTAATTAATTTATTTATTTATTTTTGAGACGGAGTTTCGCTCGTTAACCAGGCTGGAGTGCAATGGCGCGATCTCGGCTCACCGCAACCTCCGCCTCCTGGGTTCAGGCAATTCTCCTGCCTCAGCCTCCTGAGTAGCTGGGATTACAGGCACGCGCCACCATGCCCAGCTAATTTTTTGTATTTTTAGTAGAGACGGGGTTTCACTATGTTGACCAGGATGGTCTCGATCTCTTGACCTCGTGATCCACCCGCCTCGGCCTCCCAAAGTGCTGGGATTACAGGCTTGAGCCACCGCGCCCGGCCTGGAGGTCTATTTTAATGAATAATCTGAACTCATTTAACCCGCATTTAAAAGAATTTATTTATTTATTTTAATAGAAGTCTGTCAGTGTTGACCAGGTTGTTCTAAAACTCCTGACCTCAAGCAATCTTCCCATCTCGGCCTTCCGAAGTGCTAGGATTACAGGCTATTTTTAAATTTTTATTTATTTATTTAGAGACGGTCTCGTTCTGTCGCCAAAGCTGGAGTGCAGTAGCAATTTCAGTTCAGTGCAACCTCCGCCTCCCTGGCTTAAGTGATTCTCCTGCCTCAGCCTCCCAAGCAGCTGGGATTACAGGCGCGCACCACCACGTCCAGCTCATTTTTGTATTTTTAGTACAGATGGGGTTTCCCCATGTTGGCCAGGCTGGTCTCGAACTCCTGGCCTCAAGTGATCCTGCTGCCTTGAGTGCTGGGATTACAAGGGTGGGCCACCGTGCCTGGCCCACAACATTGCATTTTGAGGAGGAGAAATCCCTAGCACCAGGGCTACCCTATGCTGGACGATGTTGCTGGCACCGTCTGGTTGGAATAGAATTTTTGCCGAGAGAGCTGGCTTATTTTTCTTTCCTGGAGACGGATGAGAACCCGGATTTCCAGATTTCAAGTCTGGGTCTATCCATCCGGTTACTTTAGATCCCAGAGACAGATGGCGCTCACTGCTCAAGTCCAGGGTCATGGGATTGTTCTAGCTTGTTCTTTTATTGCGTCACCTATTACTGAGATCAGGGTCTGACTTCAAGGGTCTGACCTCTTTGCTTACCACGTATTTCCCCCTTTAATGCTCTTTCTGCCCGGGCCCCGACCCCGGTGCCCTCGCAGGGCTAGAAGAAAGGAGGCGGGACCTTATGTCGCTACAGAAATGCCCTTTCCTCAGCTTCCAAAATTGACAGGTTAGTTCTGAAAACTGACCAATCAACTTCTGCGTAAGGTGGTGGGAGCGAGACTTCCGCTTTGTAGGGAACCCGGAGGCGATTGGTTAGAGTCCTGCCCACTTCGTGTTCCGCGACGCGAGCCACTATCCTCGGCTCTGATTGGCCAGAGAGCTCGCGTCGCTGTTGAATCCCCACCCTGCGGACTCCGCCAGCCTCGCTCTCTCCCTCTGGTGTGCAAGCGCCTTTCCGCGCCTTCTTCAGGCGTTTTTGCTGAGGCTTTTGTCTGCCCTTGTTCCGGGTGGTCACGGCAGCGTCCGGGAGACCCGGCTCAAGCCTGGAGATGCAGAGCGGAGCTTGGATGGAGAGAGGACCCTGTGTTATTGAGGGGAGAATCCCTCTCGGCATCTCCTTGGCCCAATGGGGAGTCCCATTGACCCATCCACCGCTTAGAACCAGCCCTTTCCTTTCACTCCCCACCCCCCATCCCTACTGATTTTTAGACCCTCAGAGTTCCAAGATTCGACCTTATGCAGGGGCTCACAGATTTCTTTAATTCCCCCTCCTCCCCTGTCCCCCTTCTTCCTTGGAGATCCTGGGGTTCCTGCTCTTTCCCATTTATTCAACCCCTTACACTTGGGGACCCTTCCAAGGGCAAGGTGGGCGCCTCCCACTGCCTCCCCTAACCTCGTGACCTCTCCTCTTTTAGGTCTAGGAGGTCATCTTTGCTCCCTTCTCTAAAACCTCCCCACATTTAGATGCGCTCACCTAGCTTCTCCCCTCTCAGCCCCGTCGAGGCATCAAGGTTTGGGGGTCACCTTTGTTTGTTTTTTGAGGAGACTGACTCTCGTTCTTTCGCCCAGGCTGGAGTGCGATGGTGTAATCTCTGCCTCTTGGGTTCAAGTGATTCTCCTGCCTCAGCCTCCCGAGTAGCTGGGATTACAGGCGCCCGCCACCAGGACTGGCTAATTTTTGTATTTTTAGTAGAGATGGGGTTTCACCATGTTGGCCAGGCTGGTCTCGAACTCCTGAACTCAAGTGATCCCCCCACCTGGGCCTCCCAAAGTGCTGGGATAGGAGGCGTGAGCAACCGCGCCCGGCCTAAGCCTTAGTTCTTCATTGTAATGAGAGGAAGTACAAGAAAGTACAGATCATGGGCGAGGAGTCCAACTGACATGCTTCAGTGATGTGACATACTGACTCTGCCCCTGAAAAGCTGTCACCTTGGGTAATTTGCTTA